AATAATCCAACCTATGGTGCAAATATGTTGTAGGCTGAAGCGGATATAGGATTTGAACTCTATGGGTTCAACCTTCAAATTTCTTAGCATTGAACTCATTATATTGTAAAAATTATGGTTTCATATCTATTAGTTTTTGTAGTTTTGGTGGATTTTTACACATAGATTTATATTTCGCGTCGAAAGTACTGGGTTCAGTTGAACCCGATACTCCTACGCTACATCCGCCTCTGGTTGTAGGGAAACAACAACAACAACAACAACAACAACAACAACAGCAAACAACAACAAAAAACTCGGTGCAATCCCACACAAATGGAGTTTGGAAAGGGTAATGTGTACGCAGACTGTTTCCGATAGACCCTTGGTTCAAGAACAGTGAACTCCAAATGGGTGACTGTCACTCGAGGCGGAGCTAAAATTTCGAGCTTATTGATTTAATATTCTAAGCCTTTAAATTACTGGTTTCTAAGTTATTAATTTATAACTAATTAATGAATTTTTTAAGATAAATACAGAAAATTAAAGCAAAGCTACTGGATTCGTCGGAACCACAATGCTGGCTCCCCCTGCTGTCACCCTCTCTAGTCTATACATGTTTTTGAAGAAAAGTTAAAGTCACAACTAACCAGATTTGACATGTTATTTAAAGTATGATAAGATGGAAGTGATGCAATCCCTTTTTCTCCACAAGGAAAACTTTACACATAACTAGTTCAACTTAGATAGCAGCTCAAACATTAGCATCTTTTTCATTCAGTTGGGACATTGGGATTTTAATTTCAGTATATATTGATTAATGATGTACATGCACGCAACAAAATTAATAAAGAAACCAAAAAAAAAAAAAAAACTATTTTGACACTCTGTTCCTATGGTTGATAAGTTTCTCGGTTCTGAACAATATATATATAAAATTTCTTTAAATGTTCTGGACATGAGTTCTGAACAATAATAATTGAAAGAAGCATTGAATGTAAAGTTTCAGAAAATATGGCCACATTAAAGATTAATGGGGGAAGGAAGAGTCTGAGCTAAAAGATTTCAGTGGCAGACACCTTAAGTGAAACAGAAGTAGGGAGATTAATGTGCACAATATACTAGCTGGTATGGCATCTTCTATTGTCTTGTACCTTTTACAATCATGAACTCTCAACTGCCATTCTTTCACACTCTTCAGTTGGTTTATATATATATATATATATATATATATATATATGGATATTACTTCCTACTTAAAAGATTATCACAAGTAGTATATTTTGCGCGCACATTTCTTTGTTAGTATTATTTTCTTTGCTCTTTGTGTCTGCCGGTGAGATAGAGGTTTAAAACAACGATGGAGCTACGCTAGTGAAGGTTGGTCAGTTAGAATATTTTTTGTCTAAAAATTTATATTTAGGACAAATATTATTTTTTAAACATAAATTTTTAACACCCTTGAATATCTTTAACACTATTCCCGACTTTGCCACTGGCCCCAAAAAAAAACAGAAAAACAAAACGTAATTGTAGCCAAGAAAAAGATCAAAACCAAAAGTAAGTGAGCTATCAATATCATTATAAAAGGGAAAGTGAGAATGATAGAAGAAGGGGGATTACAGGGCCAAATTTAGCAAAATTGACGAGTATTAGGAACTTAAAATCACTCTCCCTAATTTGGTTGCCGACTAGCTGGATTAGCTTCCAAATAGAAGACAATTGCTGGATGTTTTTAGTTTGGATGGTCTAATCATATTATTCAAGGGTTACAAGATTTTCTTTAGGGGACCATTGTGTTGTACCTTATGGTTTCAACCCATGTGCTATTCTTTGTACAACTATGACAAAATTTCTATATAGATATTATGGAGGTTGTGACAAGTAATTACCCCTACAGTCATATTTCACCCAAGTGAAATTTGCCCCTTTTCACAGGTAGAGTATTACTGTATTACTGAAAATTTGTATGTTACAACACAGTTCACTGTCAGAGCACTTTCTGCCAAAGTGAAAAACAATTACGTAATCAATAGGGTTTGGATAATATTTAGTTGTAGTAGAAAGAACATAGCATTTGAAGTTGAAGTTTGAAGAGCAGAGGCGGAGCTAATTTATTACTTGCTGGTTCGACCTAACCAGTCATTTTGCTTAGACACATTGTGGTTAATTCAGAACTATAAACTTTAAAACTTGACGCCAGCTTCGTTTAAGAGTAGTTGAATATTGAAGTTGTGTTCGTAAATGAAATTCACTTGGAAAAGAAGTTGGAGTAATTTTATGAATGATCCCTCAATTTTTACGAGGAAAAAAGACATGTTATCTACTACTAACATGTTAAAAAATTAGATTGATTACCTTTTACAACATGTTAAAATACATTACTCACGGTGTAACGATTCTTTCCAGTTTCAGTGGTAGGATAAGCTAAATCCGTTATCTGTTTAATATCTGAAATTCTAATGCATCTCTAACTAAGTATGAATTTCATGCAGTAGCTGTTGAAGCATTTGATTGTTGCCTGTATTTGGTAAGGGAATAGACTGTTAAATTGACTCTTTGCTCAAAAACAAGCCTTCCCACGCCATGCCCTCATGAATGGCCGCAGCATGGCAGCTAAGTTTTCCCTAAAAAGTTTAGCTTCAAAAATGCCAACTTGTTACAGTTCAGATACTCTCTTTAGTGCTTCAAGGTCCACCACATAACTTTTGGATTCATTCAAACTCCTTAAGGAGCCATCAATCTGTCTTTTATTTTTATTTTTTTTCCTTCTGACACTTTCAATGTGTTCAAAAGAAGCCACTTTGGCTTTTTCTCATTTATTTCACACTTGAAAAGGCATTAATTTATGCAGAGGCTTTATGAAACAAAAGAACATGGTGCACGATATGAAATACGTAGTCGTAGGGGAAAACTTATCTTAAGCTTTTCTTCGGTTACTTACAAATTAAGAGGCGGATTCAGAATTTGAATTTTATGGGTTCAACTTCTAAATTTTTTTAGTATTGAATTTGTTAAAGTTTTTGGTTCATATCTACTTTCTATTCCTACTTTAGATAATTTTTACATATAAATTTATATTCCACGTCAAAAGTATTGGATTTAATTGAATCCGATCCGCCCCAGCTTACAGTCATAAATTAAAATGCAATATACCCGCGTTTGGATGAAAATTACAATCCGCGCAGACAACCTAATATATCACTATAGTTGCAAATTCCCACGAGCCACGGAGAGGAAGTTCGTTCCTATAGATGTTCAAGAGGTCACACAAAATTATATTCGATCCAATTTGAGCCATGTATTATGTATTGCGTACTAAAATAAGCTAACTTTATCTTTATTCTCAACTCATATATAATTTCAAAATAAACCTTTTCATAACATATCTCACAGCTTAAGTTTAATTCCTTGGTATTATCCGATTACACTTTTAAGTTTAGACTAGCTTCAGTCCTAAATGATGAATCTATTTTCTACTTAATTCTATAATCTCCAAAAGGAGGTAACATTTACACTATTGTGTATTTATTTACCATTTTTTTGCTTAGTGTTGGGGTAAAAAAGGATGGTGCTATGATGGGAGACATTGATACAACTAAAATTCTAGAGACTACACATTTCTCTCAAACTAATCATTCAACGAGCCCATTAAGAGAGGGCCCACAAAAATATGAACGGTCCAGATCAGTGAAGTAGTGGGCCAAGTCCAGTAGGGTCATTTAAACCCACCACCGATCTTTTATGGTGCCAGCAATGCTCAACTATTATTATTATAAAAAAAGAAGAAGAGGAATGATCCACCTGTTTGTCAGTGATACCTATCGTACATTGGTTTAGGAGATGACCAACATGTGGGCCTCACTCACCTGAGCCAACATCTGGACCTGATAAGCTTTGGGCCCCAACCAACTCAGCCCATCTCTGTTTAACTACTTACATTTTTTAACTTTTTTTCCCCCTCAAAATTAAAAGAAAAATCTTTCTATTATACTTTTCAACCTCCGCTTCCAACCAAGAGGTTGTGAGTTCGAGTCTCCCCAAGAGCAAGGTGGGAAGTTCTTGGAGGGAAGGATGCCGAGGGTCTATTTGGAAACAGCCTCTCTACCTCAGGGTAGGGATAAGGTCTGCGTATACACTACCCTCCCCAGACCCCACTAAATGGGATTATACTGGGTTGTTGTTGTTACTATAAATAAACAGAGTGATTCATGGCAGTCATGATCAGAATCACAAAATTTCTTGCCACATACTTCTCCAACATTAAAGGGCTAGCTAAACTGTTCTATCCCTAGCTACATTATATTATAGGTCTGAAGTCATAGGTCTTGTCGACATATTTTGGGTGAAACGCTATTTAACATAGTATAATCCCTATAAAAAAATATCTACACACATAAGTTAATTACAAATAAAATTATATGATATGTATTAAATATTTAATTTGATAAGTAATTATGGTAACTAATTACTGTTATATATTAAACTATATTATATTAATATAGTTTTACTATTAATGCATTTGAACTTATTATAACAAATTATTTTTCTTATAGTCAAACATCTCTATAATAACCTCGTTTGTTCTGAATATTTTTGGATGTTATAGCGAAATGCTATTATATAGAACAAATATTATAACATGACATGAAAATTAGTTCCAGAAAAACTTGGTTTTTATAGTGAAGTATTGTTATATAGGGATTTTGTTATAGAGAAATATAAATATATTTTTAAAATATTAATGTCATTTTTAATAGTGAAAAATTACACTATCAACATATAGAAGTTAAACTCTTTTTTTTCTTCTACTGTAACAAGGTGCACAGCCGAGAGTTAGGGAGTGGGGGAGCGTTTGAAATCGATAGGTGAAAAACTTTAATCAATTTGCAAGAGTAGTAATTAAGTAAATTTTTATGATATGACATAATCCATCCAAAACAGCTATAGAGTCTTAATAATTTTTGTACATGTAACTTTAGATATAACAAAGATAAAAAGGAACATTAATTCAATGATGATGATGAATAACAATCTATTCTATAATTGAAAAACAATTCAGAGATTTTTGACAGAACAAACCAAATTCTCATCTCCCTTTGTTAAACTGTTGCCCTCTTCAAACTCGAAGGCAAATTAATCACACAAAAAAAAGGTGAAGAAAGAAAAAGAATGTTCAAGGAAAATTCAACAACAAAAAAATAATAATAAAAAAGAGGAAGTAGAATAAGAAGAAAAAACATATAAGGAATTTCCGAGCAAATAATCAAACCTCTCACGTGTGTGTTTAATCATCCAAACATATAAAACACAAGTTAAGAAAGAATGGATGAATTTGATTTTGATGATCAATCTGCAGCCTACAGCTATGAATGGTGGCTCGTCGTATCATGCCGATCATCGGTGCCACCGCCGTGATGCGAGTGTGACCCACTCGCCTGAGATTCCGATACACCGCCACCTGGCCTATACGAATTTAGACCAGCAAACATGCCAAGTTGCCCTTCTCCCAACCCATTATTGCTGCCGCCGCCGCCGCCACCACTACTGCCACCGAGTTGTTGACTAGGCAAAAGCGCCACGGGGGTTGGAAAATTCATAAATTGCAAACCACTTGGCATTGTGCCTCTATACAAAGCTGCAGCAGCAGCACCAGAATTGCTTACTGATTGAAACGGCCATATTGGATCGCCTCCCATGACTTGGTTACTAGGAATTGGATTCGTTACCATCCAAAAATTAGCCGGAATTGAAGAGTGGCTCGTTGGCATAGTCCCAGTACTTGATTGTAACAAATAACTTCCCATTTGCTGCTGATGTTGCTGCTCCAAGTCTAAATCCGACCTTCGTTTCCTATTTAAATTGTCCTCCTGACTTGTCTCCGTTAAATCAATCGAATTGTCACGCAATTCATTCTTCGTTTGCAACTGCATACTAGGGTTTAAATTTGTTTGAAAGTTCAACAACGTAGTAGCTGAATTGTCGGACGACAATCCAATTCCCGGAAATAACCCTCGTCGTTGAGAAAGCGAAAAATTTGGACTGAAATACGAGGATCGTAGCTGTGATGGTATGGACATGCTGGATCCTGAGCTACGTAAAGAAATATTAAGCGACGTAAAGTTTGCGGGAATTGTACCGGTTCCTGTTGCGGCTATTACTGCTGGTTCCGCTTGTTGCAGTAGCCACTCTATGGTTTCGCCGTCGGACTTGTGACCTAGCTCGCGGGTGAGCTGAAAAACCCTAGCGGCACAAAGCGCAGGCATGCGGATACGTCTGCCCCGACCATCTACCTGTTACACATAATATAATTTAGCAATTAATTAGAACTGTATTCTATCTCTGATAGGTTAAACTTTTAAATGAGATGGTTAGATAAAATTCAACAAACCTTAGTGTGGCGGTCTTTGGTGGAGGTTCGTTTTGGGGGCGGCTTTTTAGATGAATCGGCGCCAGAAGCTGAGATTTGGAGAGTGGAAACTGATGATGTAGTTGATCGAGGTGTATTATTAGGGTTTGTATGAGTATTATCTGTGTTGGAAATAGCAAGAGAAGTATAGGCTGCAGCAGCGTTGGATGAACTAGAGCAAGCTTCATCTTCTTTTTTCTCAAGTAATTGGAATGGGAAAGTAGCAATAGGGCGATGGTGGTGATGGTGTTGGTGGTGTTGGTGGAGATGGTGATCATCACCTCCTCCATCCATGATCACAACAAGTAATGACTAAAAACTTGCTCTAAAAAACCTTTCTCTTTGTCTTCTTTTTCTCTCTAGGCCAAGTTCTTTCTATGAGAAAATAGTGACAGACACTATATTTAATTCTTTGTGGGTCTTCTTATGTTTCTCTCTCTTTCTCTCTCTCACTAGAATGAATGAAATGAAACAAAATGTTCCCTTTTATCTTTCCCCCCCTTTAATTTCTATTAGCTGGGATGAGTATATGTCTCTTTCCCCTCTATAGATTGTTGTATATATGGGCTTTTCTTTTGGCATTCGATGTGTAACATGTGTTGGTTGGGCTAAGGGAGAGATATAGAGGATAAGAGAAGAGAGGGAACGCTTTAAGCATAAACGATAATGAGTGGGAATTATAAGGGGTGAGCTTTAAACAGCAAAAAAAAAAAAAAAAAAAAAAAAAAAGAAATTATTTGCTTTTGTTGGAGGCTCCTTTTTTAATTGCCTTTTTGACAAATATTGATTGAAATGTGTCGCCAAAGAAAAAGAAAGAAAATAGTATTGCTGATTTTGAGTTTGATTTTCTTTTTTTCTTTTCAGGAAATACTTTTTATTGTGGTTGGACAGAGCCTTTGGTTCAGACTCCACGTGAGGTGCTCTTTTTTATCATTCAATCCATAAAGACAATGGTGGCCATAGGTGGGGCCCAAACCCAAGTCAATAAAATTGAGAGACTTAAAAAGGGGAAGATTTATCAAAGGGGGAGTGGGTCCTTTTCTTCATTCATGTAATCATTTCATTTCGCCTTTGGCTCTTTGCCTTTGTTCTGAACCTTTGCCCGCTGCTTTGCCATCTTTGGGATTCCTCCAATTATTTTCCCTCCCTTTCACCTTGGGCCTAATTATCCGTGGTCTCTTCTCCCCCTACCCTAAATTTAGCAGCTGATTTAGAATATTAGAATAATCAGTACGAAATATCATTGCAACAACTTCATAGGTTAGTGTTTGATAATTAATTAGACACAAAATTTAATACATAAAGAGGATTTTTGACACAGACCTTAAATATATACTTCCTGTTTATTCATTTATGTAGCATTATTTGATTGAATACAAAATTTAAAAAAGGAACGAAGACTTTTAAAATTTGTAGTTTAAAACAAACCCTGAATATTTTATTGTTATAAATTATATCATTAAGGGTAAGATGAGAATTTAAAATTTAAATTTTTTTAAATAAAAATGGATGACATTCTTTTCGGGACAACCTAAAAGGAAAGTGTGCCACATAAGTTAGGTAGAGGAAGTACAAAGTACCATAGCTACTCTTACTATCAGTAACTTACTGATAAAATGAGTGATGGTGAAAATTTTACATATCTATTTATTTTTTCTCATAGCAGTAAAAGAATCAAATTCCTACGACCTTACCTTAAGGTGTACTAATGAACGGTATAATTTTTTTATATATATACATACAACGATCAATGAATGCAAACATGTCTAGAAGTAGCTAGGTCGTTTAAATTTTATCATTGGTCCTAGTCTCCTAGAATTGACAAAAATAAAAAACAAGAAAACGGAGTAAAAGGGTGTTTGTGATCAAAAGAAAAATAGAAAAAAGAAGAGAAGGAATGATGGCTAAGGTTGGGTGGATGGTGCTTTAGCATTGGTGAGACCCTATATTTTATTGTAGACATATATACACCTTTTCGAGTGGGTATAGATATATATAGGATGAGGAATGGCATATATGACTGCAAGACTGGCAGCTATGGGATCGATGCAACTTTCAAATTCTTGTTTAACAAATGCCTAGCCTGGGTATTAGGTAGTACGCCCTTTGACATCAACACCTTCTGTCACTCATGCAACCCCGAGCTCTATATTATATTACTATAGTATATACTCAAATAAATTACTAAAAGCATTTGTTAGGAAATAAAATATAATTCAGTCTGAAGTTATCATGATCATATTTTGTGCATGTTTCATCTCACTTTTACTGGAATCTTTAATTTCTGCTACAAGTCAATGTTTGCAATAAGGTACTACGTATGTCACAATAATACTAACCTTTTATATGTTACTTATGATCTAACCTTAAAGACATGACATATTTTATAAAATGAAAAATATTTCTTCATACCAGCAATTTATTAATTAAACTAATGTACCATGATACTATTTGTATTATCTACAAACACAATTTGCATCTTATTGATTAACCATCAGTTTACTTTTTAACAAGCAATAATTAATTAATTAATTAATTAGTTTGAGCTCATTATCTAAGTATATTATATGGGTCAAAATCTGACCATAGCGATCGACCAAGCTGGGATCTCACCCAGGTGGCGAAATAATGAAGGGCACCACGACCGACCTCGGGGTCAAATCATCGACAACGTATGTCAAGACGTTATTGTACTCAAGTAACGACGAAAAGGACTGTCGCAGAAGATCATGTTGGTCAAAGACCACTGAATGAAAGTTGCAGGAGTTATATATAGAGGGTGGAATTTCTGGAAAAGGGGGGCCTTGGCTTTTTCCTCTCTACTCTTTCTCTGATAATTTCTATTCGTTTAGAATGTTATCAATAAATCAGGAATGTTCCTACCTTTCATTATTTCTCGTTATATACTTTTAGATCTAGAGTTGATTATACTTGGCTAAGATTTACCTTCTTTATTATCGATAATTGGAGTTTGCAAAAGAATCTCAAACTTTTTATTCAAACAATTTGGTGCCGTCTATGGGGATTTCTTAGCCAAGTTTTCTAGTCTCCTTCAGATCCAAAACCGATAAAACATAACCACCAACCAGAAAGAGTGGGAAGTAAACCTCACATACTAATCTAGATCATGTTGCTACATAAAAACAAAAGTTACAACCATATCCACGCAAAACCCACAAGAGGAGATGATACCTGCTGCGCAATCCTATAAAAGAATGGGCACGTCTTGACCTACTCTGACATTCCCCCCACACACCGGATGATCCATGAACAAGCTAAGGTAAACCCAACCCACGTGGAGCTAGGGCACTTTCAAAAAAGAAGAAGAAAGGAGAGCTGAACATGGTCGCCGAATCTAAAAACCACAATTCCATCAACCACTTAAACGCCAGGCAGAGTGAGCAACGTTATAAGGCTACCCTCGTTCATCGACTCATTGGATAGAGGTAAGGAAAATCTAAAATCTCATTTTGGTTTACCTTCTGTTGTTTTCTTAAAAAGGAACACAAGCGCCGCATGGGCAAGCGAGCAAAAGAGCATTCCAACTAGAGAATGGAAGGAAAACTACCACAAAATAACTGGAATATCGCCCATCTCAGACACTTCAACTTCTGGAAAATGACGTCCCTTAAGTCGTACTCCCTTTCTCTCACCTGGGTGTTGTTCCAATTGGATTTTATCGGGGAGGTTTTGAACGAGGTGATGAGGGGACGTCACCAAGTTCAAGGGATAATTCATTGCCCCGTCTACCAACGAGCTCTCCAGGATAGACGATAAAGGGACTAGATAGGAAAATTCCAATATATGCATGAAACGAATGTTAGCAAAATAGCAATGTTTTATACTCTCCAACATCACACTCTCCAATGAAAACAAAATTAAGCAAACTGGGACTCACCCAGGGAACATAGGAATTAAGAACTGAGACTCACCTAGGAAACACAGAGGTTAAGCAAAACTGGGACTCCCCCCAGAGGACACCCGAAACTCTCCAAAAAATTGGGACTCATAACGGGTTAACATTTCGACGTCAGCTCGAAATAAGACTCATATGGCCAAGGGCCATTGCCAAAAAGAAGAGTTCGACCTCGCTCGAATCATAACGGGTTAACATTTCGACGTCAGCTCAAAAAAACACCCCTACGGCCAAGGGCCATCGCCAAAAAGAAGAGTTCGACCTCGCTCGAATCACAACGGGTTAACATTTCGACGTCAGCTCGAAATAACACCCCTACGTCCAAGGGCCCTCGCCAAAAAGACGAGTTCGACCTAGCTCGAATCACAATGGGTTAACATTTAGACGTCAGCTCGAAATAATACCCCTACGGCCAAGGGCCATCGCCAAAAAAAAGAGTTCGACCTCGCTCAAATCACAACAAGTTAACATTTCGAAGTCAACTCGAAATAACACCCCTACCGCCAAGGGTCATTGAATTCGACCTTGCTCGAATTACAACAGGTTAATATTTTGACCAGCTCGAAATAACTCCCATACGGCAAAGGTCCATCGCCAAAATGTATTTCGACGTTAGCTCGAAATAACATCCTTACGGCCAAGGGCCATCACCAAAATGAAAAATTCGAACTCGTTCAAATCGTAACAGGATAATATTTCGACGCTAGCTCGAAATAACATCCTTACGGCCAAAGGCCATCGCCAAATGAAAAGGAAAATTCGACCTCGTTCGAATCGTAACAGGATAATATTTCGACGTTATCTCGAAACAACATCCTTACGGCCAAAGGCCATCGCCAAATAAAAAGGGAAGATCGACCTCGTTTGAATTGTAACGGGATAATATTTTGATGCTAGCTCGAAATAACATCCCTACGCCAAAGGACCATTGCAAAAGGAAAACTTTGACCTCGCTCGAACTCAATATCGATCGTCGCCGTACATTTTTTCTTCTACTTACTAAAAAGTTGATTTCGCTACAAACTCCAAGTTCGACCTTGCTCGAATATATATAAAAAAGTGACTTCGCCCGAATCAATGACAGTTTGATCCTACTCGAACGACTCAAGTCAAGACTAACTTCGTCCAAAACAATGAACCCATTATATAACCTCGTTTGAGTCAAGGGCTAATCTGCTTAAAGCAATAAGTCACTAGTCGATCTTGCCCAAATAGGAGATTCAAATAAGACTCCATGCGGACTCAGACGATGAAGTCCTACTCATTCCGGATTAAAATTGGTTTCCCTGAAAAATCAGGAATTCACCATACGGAAATCCGAAAGTTTATGCCAAAGATATGTAAAGCAAAAGGGGTAGAAATACAAAGGATGGACAATGATGAAAACCCCTTTTATTTAAATAGTTGCGCAAATGGCCGCATATTACACATGGCTAAAAGCTGTCCAGTACAGAAAATAAAAAAAATAAAAACAATGAAAAACAAGAAAAAACGATAAAGATACCACTTTTTTACTTGGCACCATCACTGTCGTCCTCTTCATCACCATCTCTAGGAAACTCCTCCTTAGCATCAACATCCTCGCTGGCCTCCGGTGTCGCAGGATCATAACTACAGTTAACACGAGCCTCTCGTGCCTTCGCCTGAGCTCCTTCATAAGCGGCCTCAGAAACATTACCTGCTTCCCACAAACTCTTGTATATGTCCCGTTGAGCTTCGGCATGGACCTAGAGCTCGTGC